ACGATTGCAAGAGATCCATGCTTTTTTAGTATATGTTTCATGCAACTGAGGTATAAAAACATGCCTCTTTAGCAGGACGTTCATACAAAATTAGCATAGGAAGTCTCCATACTACAAACGCTTGATTTTTCTCTCCGTGTAGAAGTCTTTATTTGATTCCTTTACAATTAGAATCAAAGAGAAAGAGTAGATCCAGATGTCTTTAGGCACACTGAAACAAAATTAAAACTTTATGGAATCAAAGAGAATTTAAATAGGGACAAAATTTAAATTCTTGGTAATTTATCTTTTAAAGTTATTGTTAGAGTCGTAGACTCAGCAAGCGATACCTCCTGCAGTGTGAGATGGAAGAAATGACGTTGTCTAGCGGAAACAGAGAATGCAGTAGATTTCCCTCGAATTGTTTTCGGGCCAGCCAAAGTGAAAGGTCCGTAGTCTAGGTGTCGATGTAAATTAAATAATACACCCTTAATCCTAGGAGTGACCTAATTATTGATTTGACGTTAATGTCGAGGTAATGCAGTCCTTAGAAAAATAGAAATGTGCCTCGCAGTAGAAATTATCTCCTTGAATGAATTTGACTAGGGCGAGACTCGAAGAAGGCACTTGGTATTTGAAGAGGTTTTCTAGACTGGAGTTGAAAAATAAACTTGATAACAGTACACAACTAGTTAACTTGGTCATGTTTGCTGGATAGACACGAAGAAGACAGGGAGTTGATTCTGTAATGACTTCTAGACTAACGCGAAAAAGACGCGAAGTTGATTCGGTGGTGACTTCTGGACTAGTTAACTTGAAGGCGTTGTCTGGACTGACAAATTCAGCAAGGGTGGCACCTTTTTTAGGTTCCTTTTGCAAGGGATACGTCATACCACCCAGTTTTATTACTTTCTGGGTCAGTTGTTTTGTATTGATTTAATTTGGGCGTGTGTGATTAGTTACTGTATTAGGTAGGTGAGTGACAAAGCATTGATGATCATATTTGGTATCTAAGACTATTGGATATTTTTTATGTTCCTCTTTTCATTATTGAATTAGTTCTAGATACTTAAGATTCGGTGTACTTTCGAGAGTAGAAGGAAGGTTTTATTTCCCTTCCAACTGTAAGTTCAAAGGTTGTAAATTCTGTTGTTTTATTAGTAGTTAAAAGAATCTGCTCCGTATTTTTCGGTTAGGGAATTTAAACTACAAGTGCAAATAAAGATTTTTAATTAATTCTCTCACATAATTGTGTTCCACAGTTGGGAATTTTACTCTCACCTTAAATAATGGTTTATAATTGATAAAATGATCGATACCAATTGATGTCATTAAATTAGAATTTGAATTGGGATTTTGCTGGTTGTTTACCAATTTACAATAGTGATGACCAATCTAAACTCCTTCTTAATCGAAGTACGTGTTATGTCATTGGTACGTGCTTTTAGATTGTGCATATGCCAAATCTAACTTCTATATGGGCAGTAGTAATTACATTGGAGGATTCATGAACGTTAGTCGAACTCCAGGGAGTATCGATACGTGCTACTAGAGCATAATTTCAGTTTACGAGACACACTCTTGCTTGTGTTGGATACTCCACTATTTTATGGCCATTTGTTGTCCAACGGTGTATCGATTTTCCAATCTTCTTTAACTTGAAATAAAGTTACCGTCGATAATGAAATCATCAATTCTTCCAATCTCTGATAAACGACTATATATTTCTTGTTACGCGAAATTGTCACTTTAACAATTTGTTCGGAAGTTTTTTGAAAATCTACTTCCTAATTCCAGTGGACTGCAGTCGTGAATTATTTTCGTCAGTCTTGGTAACTATAAAAATAGTGATTTTTATGAAATCTTATAAAAACTTATAAAATCGCTATTTAATAGTTACGGGTTATTTTACATAAATACTGCTTGTTCTATAATTGAATGGAGAACAATCACTATTGAAATGAACTTGCAAAGTTCTTTATTAGCATACGAAAAGGAACTGCAGTTTGAAGGGATGATAAAAAAATGCACTTTTCTCGCATATATTGGCGCAGTTATCTTCAATCTGGATACGTTTCAATTTTCCTTTGCCGAGTTTTAAGGGCAATATCGGTTTTTTAAAGGCGCATATGCACGACTGTACTAACCATCAGAGCAGGTGTAGAAGACGTAAAGGACCAGGAGATGTTAGTGCCAGTCCATATATACACATTGTGGCGGGATAGTGTGGAAGCTGGTCCAGTTAGGTGCTACTTTACGGGCAGTAACTGCCGTCGTAAACATGGCGAACACACGCCAACTCTCTCGCCAACTAAAGCCGGGCCTCCCTTACGATCGAAGTGCGAGGGGGGGGGGGTGAGAGGGAGAGCAATCCTTTCATCCCTCCTGACCGTTTTCCGATCTCGTTTTGTTTTAATACGCCACGTACCGAAAGCATTCGCCCATGAAATCGGTAGGTAGTAGGCGCGAGTTATGTCATCTATCTAACGACACGTTCTGTATTATTACCGCTTTTTTTATCCCTGCTGCCCCCCCCCCCCCATCCCTCCCTTTCCCTTTCGTTTTAGGGTTGGATGATATAAACCATCATCCACTTTATTCGCCATTCAGTGCCATATAGGAGAATCGAGAAACTGGAACATGTTTGCACAATGTGCACATATTTCACGGATTTAGGCCATTGTATGACATAGGATAATCTCTGCAATAACCTTTCTCTGATATGTATCTCGCGACTCTACGAAAAGATTAGTTGTGAGCTTCTTTGCATAATTTGTAAATTTGTTTATTCAGGAAACAAAGGATGATTTATTTCCCAGAGAGATGTGGAGATAATTTATGTTTCTTTTCAAATGAAAATACTTGAATTTTTTTTAGAACAGTATGCAATCTTTTGATTAGTAGCGGTCACGTTAGAATTTAAATATAAGATTAGAGACAAATTTTAGCGCTGAGGACACCCTTTTCTTTTTTATTGATAATTTTTTAGAAACAAAAATATAATATCATTACAATTGATATTAAAACTAAAAATAGCAACAATAATGAAAAACTACGATCTTTCTATATTCTGAATAAATCGAGGAATAAATAACATAAATTGGTCTCTGTTTGTAAAATGTTTAAGGTTTGTTTCACATTCTGCGACATTGTAACACTTTCAACGCCATTGTATTTGTTTAATAATTTGAACTGTTAAATGATTGTAAATACATTCTTTATGGTAACGACTTTTTATACCTACGACACCTTTGAGGTTTTATTGTCTTTTCAAAATAAATAACATAAGAATGTCTTCCTTTACCTAATTTGCATATTTAGGGGAGAGTCTCCAGTTGTGAGACGGGTTTTATTTTTGACCCGTAAATTGTAAACGGGTAAACGAAATTGTAAATAAAATACACCGTTCGAAAGGTAACAGAAATACGCAACTTTTATTAAAAGAAAGTGTAGTGTTTCGATAAACTCAAAAAATGTTACGATACATTTTCCGAGCACATCGCTTTTTTCAAAAAAAAAAAATGTCTCCAGTTGTGAGACACTCATTAAAAATTGCTAAAATTTAGTAAGTTTGACATAAAACGTTATGTTTAGTAGAAATAATTAAATATATTAATAATATATATTATTATATACTAAATAATAATATTTATTCGCCAAAATATGACTATCAAATAAACACAATTTAATAGCTTCAACAAGAGCATTAAAATTGATTTCTTCTAAATCAATTGACTTTTTTTCACTTGACATGCCCAAAAATACTAGAAAAAAAAATAAAAACAACATTTAAATTGTATGCCTGCAAAGTCGTATTTTTTATGCTGCCCAGATGGGTGTTGACACCGTCTCACAACTGGTGATATGCTGTGTCTCACACCCAGAAATTGGAGCTATTTTGAAAAAGGAAAATTAAATTATTTTTAACCGTAGATTGGAACAATGCAATATTGCATCACAAAATATAAGGAAAACACTAAAAGAAAATGCATTACATTTACCTTTTCCAATTAATTAACTTGGAAAAAAAGTACTTTGCATTTATTGAAAAAACGCTTTTTAGTCGATTATCACACACAGTGTTGGTATTTAACAAAAACAGTTTATATATCCGCTTCGGCGTACACGAAATAGTTGGCTCATATAAAAAGAAATGTTTTTATATAAACCAATCGGCTTTTTAATATTGCATGTTTAAAAAAATTGACTGTCTCACAACTGGAGGTGTCTCACAACTGGAGACTCTCCCCTACTCTTTTCATATAAGGAACTATTTAACAAAGTTGGAAAATGTTTATATGATAAACTTTCAGTCAACTTCTTTTTGAAGTTGTAATTTTTAAACTAAAGATAAAAAATTGCTTTACATAATTATTAAATGTTTTTAAAGAGTTCTTTATTCTGATAACTAAAGTATTTTTAATCTTAATTAAATATTCTATCAGTGAATAATAATTAAATAATTTTTCTTTTTTCAGGTGAGTACATTTGAGTTTTCAAAAAGTCCTCTGCATTCCTTATTATTTCATCGTTATCGTGTTTGGTGAGTTATATTTTTGTACTGTTTTTATGTCTAAACATCACGTTTTCATGATTATCTCGACTTTTCCAATATCTGTAGGAATGGATTTATTTTTAACAGTAAATTTTATTGGCGCACAATTAATTTTTTTTATATAAATGTTTGGGGTTTCTGCGTTCTTTTGCAGAAACGAAAATAATGTAATATATAAAATTGATAAAATTAAATTTTTACGAAGAAGCACTTTGAGGCTTTGATTGCAACTGCAAATAATTTCAACATATATTTATAAAAATATTTTTTTTACTTTGCTTTCATAAAGTTTTCTTTCCAAGGAATTTAGAGTTATTTATTAGAAATTCGAATTTATTTCTAAAATTCAAAATATCTGTTTTAAAATAATAGACAAGTTTTAAAACAAAACTGGTTAAATGTTGTTTTTAGGAATTTTTAAGGTTGATGATTGTAGATAAGAAATGAAAATTGAAAAATCAAATAATAACTATTTAAATGCTTTATTATTTATATGTTTGCTTAGATACAGTAAAAGACAAAATCTTTTTTTATTTACAATTATTTTATTTATTTAGTAAATGGTAGGTGTATTGTATATTGTCTGAAAAAATCTGCAAAAATCTGTCCCAAAAGCTTTCATCTTGTTTAGGTAGTTCGTGATGATTTAATTTATCAATTGTTGCGTTCAAATGACTTTCCAAATTATTTAAAACTTGTTTTACTTCATTTACTTTATCCATAGTGAAGTTACTCTGTTCGCTTCTGATCGTCGAAATTAGAAAGCAGATTATTGCTAATCTTATCATGATTGTTAAAGAATACATTTTTTTCCCAGTTGATATTTGTTATTTACCGCAAATACTAGTACAATCTGTAAATATTACTAATAAAATAATGCGAAAAAATATTAATTTGATTTTTAAAATTATATATACTTACCGTATGGTTTCAAATTATACGGTAGGTGTATTACACAGGAATAATTAGACGGATTTCACTATTTCTTTTTTGTTTCAAACTTAATGCCACGAAACAAAAGACTTTCAAATAACGTTTAAAAATTTCACGCGATTCTACAACTTATATACTGTTCATGTTGAGTATTATTTAAAGTTATCTCAAAATTTTATGTACTATTATTCAACAAAAAATGTACTGGTGCAACCGATTCAGATTGGGAGAAAAAAATATTATTTATCAGCGAATTGATGTACTGTTGACCAATAGAAAAATTACAGGTGTAACAAGTTCAGATTAGGAAAGAAAAATATTTTTTATTGTATAATGTTAAGAAAATATTTTGAGAAATTTGATGAGAAAAATATTGCAATATTAGAAACAATTTTGTAATGTGGTAAAACTGAAAGGAACATAGTTTCCCTTTCATGCTATTAAGATCAATGTGGATCTGCTTTCCTCTTAAGGGATTAATCCCTTTTATAGCGTTTAATTTGTATTTAGAGGCAGGATTGAAAATGTCTCTTCCATCAAATTTAACAATAGAAATATGATGTTGATATTTCTATGGAAGAGGAAGTTTAGGATGAGGGTATTAGGCTTTGATAGGAGCATCAACCGGAACATGTCAGGCAGTAACGTGCAAGTGAAATCGATACTGGTAATAATAATTGTATTCGTCGCACGTTAAGCTTCCTGCAGTTGCTTCGAAGGATATACGTCCTCTCTCTGTGCTGCTCTGGAATTATCTCTCGAGTATCTAGTGCCGCATAAATCAGGACCCGTGGATTACGAAGCTAAGGCTGCGGAAGTAATGGGATTATCGTTAGCGCACTGGCCCGCTTGAAACTAGGAAACGTCCCATCGTCCGTCGCTCTACCATCCGTCCACTCTCTGCACTTTACCAACTAACGTAAATTTCATAATTTTCCCATTATTTATTCAAGTCCACATTTGACTACCAATTTTTCAATTAATCCTCTATTCTATTATTTACCCATTAGTTGTCGTATTCGCTTTTGGTTAAACAGGTTGACTAGTGGCAAACGAAATTTTAATTATTTATAGCCTTAATTAGTAGTGTGGGTGTAAAGTAGTCCTTTTAGCGTTACATGAAAATTTGATTTGAGTAAGAGATAAATTGTTTACTAAAAAGACTTTCGCTGGAAAAATTTAGAAAATCTTTTTTTGTTTTTTTCTTCGTGTTCACTAGGAGGGATGACAAGTTATTCTCCAGCGTCGTAAAATACAGAGAGCATTGAATTTTGTTTTTCCCAAAAATCTCTCGCAAACATATCGTGGGTCAGGGAAAAGGAAGTCGAGTAAATATTTGTGAGCAAAAGTAATCGTTCCTATAAAAATCCGCTGGAATGAAGGGGGAGATTCTTTTCGAATTGTGTTCTTGTATCATAAATTGACGATTGTTTTAAAATGTGTGTGAGAGAACATGCATCAAGTGCATATACAAATATATCCATAAGATGGAATACGGTGCGACCCCTCCAAGTGATGCTCTTGACCCGACCCAAGGAATTTTCTCGCATAGGACTGCAAGGGGACGACGGAAGCGGTAGGAGGAGTGTCGGGAGTGAGAAAGGAAGATGAGAGTGTGCTAGATAGAGTGAGCATGGGGTGCGAGGTCGAAAGTACCGGAGATCGAGCGGAAACCGGCTCTCTGTCTGCTTGGAGATTCTTGCAAAGGACGCAGTGCACGTCACCGACAGTCGAGCTGCCGGAGGTGCTCCCGGCAGTTTACGGTTCCTGGGCTGGCCATAACTCGGCGCAGACAATTCATAAAGCAACCAAGGGGAGGTTTTGGGGACGGGCGGCGGCAAAAGAAGGTGAAAAAGAGAGAAAATAAAAGACATTCTCGGTCGGGAAAACCCGAGAGGCCACAACAGAAAAGGCTGCCGGCTCCACCGCACCAAAGTGCTCTCTAAATTATTCTCTCAAGCATCATGCGCTCAGAGATAACCAAAGTTGGTAACTAAGGATTGTTTTCACCTCGGTTCTACTATCCAAATTAACTTCTAATTCCTTCGAAACGCTACGAATTTTCTTTTTTTAACAATTACCACATGGGTCGTTAGATTTTTTTATTTACCCTTTTTAAAATTTAATACTATATTAGAAAATTTTTCCCAAATCTAATATTAATTTAAAAACCTTTTTCAAATTAATAATTTCAATTTTCATGTTTTCTTTATATTTCTGCTATCCAAAGTAGAACTTCAATTATAACATAAATAATAAAAGATGGTATAAAGCAACATTGAATAAAACACTCAAACACAATTAAATTCCAGAAGGCTGATAACAATAATATTCTTTAAAATTCAATATCTCAGCGATCATAAAAACTAGTTTTTTCAAACTATAATTGGGTCATTCGATAATAGGACGAAGGTCTAAATTGTTATTAGATCTATATTCGAAGGGATTGTAAAATATTTTATGCGGTACCAATTATATAATGAGCATTCAGATAGGATATGATGACAATCATCCCTGACGATTCAGGGCAGTTATTCTTTCTTAAAACCTGAATTGAAATTAAGTCATTAAAGTTTTTATTTGAATCCTTTTCAATTAGAATCAGAGAGAAAGAGTAGATCCAGATGTATTAAGGGACACTAAAACAAAATAAGAACTTTGTGGAATCAATCGAGTATTGATATAGAGACAAAATTTAAAAGTAATAGTTGCTTACCTTTTAAAATTATTCTTAGAGTCGTAGACCCAAAAAGCGATACTTCCTTCAGTGTGAGATCGAAGAAATGACTTTGTCTAGCGGAAACAGAGAATGCAGTAGATTTCCCTCGAATTGCTTTCGGGACAGCCAAAGTGATAGGTCCGGAGTTCAGGTGTCGATGTAAATTAAATAAAACACCCCTCAAAACTACGAGTGACCTAATTATTGATTTGACGTTGATGTCGAGTTAATGCAGTCCTTAGAAAAATAGAAATGTCCCTCGCAGTAGAAATCATCTCCTTGAATGAATTTGTCTAGGACGAGACTCGAAGAAGGCATTTGGTACTTGAAGAGATTTTCTGGACTGGAGTCGCAGAACAAACTCGATGACAACACATCTAGTTAACTTGGTCGCGGTTGCTGGACTGACACAAAGAAGACGCGAAGTTGATTTGGTGGCGACTTGTGGACTAGTTAAGTTGTAGGCGTTTCCTGGACTGATACGATGAAGACACTTGGGGTAAAACACAACTAGTTAACTTGGTGGCGATTCCTGGACTGACGAATTCGGCAAGGGTGGCACCTTTTATAGGTCCCTTTTGCAAAGGGATACCACCCACTTTTATTGTTTTCAGATTGTTATTATTGATTTAATTTTTAACTCCTGTATCAGACAGTTGGGGACCTAATGGAAGGGAGACAAAATACAGATGACCGTATTTGGCATCTGCTATCTAAGTGAAGACTTGGATCAATATAGTTTACATTCCAAGAAAATAAGGATTTAGGTTTTTTTATCCTCCCTTAGAAGATAATATTTATAAATATAAAACACATGTTTATTTAAAAGTCTAATTTGAGAAAATACACGTCTAAAAAAGAGGGCTACGTTGATACAAAAAGTTCTTAATGTTTTCAGTAAATAATAAGTCAGGATATTCCAAAAGAAATATAGTATAATTCTTTATTCTTAAAGAGTTGTTACACATGTCAAAAGTATTAGAATAAGAGCTTTATGTCTACGTGACCATCGATAATGTTTTATTGTGAGAAATTGCTAAATAAAATAAGTAAATTTGTTCAGGAAGTAAAGAGGTAATAACTCATTTCTCAAGATATATATGAAATATCGATTGTTGGCGTTTGTAATAAAATCTCGAAAGTGGTTTATTTTCTTGAGACTGGCTCTCGTAAAAGGAACTAGGCTGTATTGCAACGTGAATCGAATTTTCAAGCTTAGAGAGAAAGCTGAGATACTCACACTATTCTCTTGAGAGGATGTGCTCTATTGAGCTTGTAATCGCGGAATTTATGGAAACTCAATAACATTGTTTCTATCTCGAAGATTCACTTATTTTATTTAATGTATAATTTAATACTCGAAATCCCTTGACAATAGATCAAAAGAAGCATTTCAGAAACAAACAAAGAAATATCGTCGTAAATCGTAAATCATGTTGGGATTATAAATAAATGATAATGTGGAGAAAAAAGCGGTAGTAGCATCGAAGTAAGTACAAGGGTTTAAAGATAATTCAAGTCAATTTGTTTGGAAAAAATACTATTTTTTACTTTGAAATATCGATTTTAAGACTCAAAGTCATGGCACTGTGCCTTATTTTCTGCGGGCAAGGATAAGCCGGGCGTTGGTTGGCAGAGGAGCAAATCGACGAGTAAAGGTGCACGCGAGGATTTTCAGTGCGAGAGCGATACTATTTCTCGGCTAGTTAAGAAGTAGGGCTTAGGAGCTTACTTCTATCGAGTCTAGACGCCAGCCATGTAGGTGAAGTCTGTGTTGGTCTTCTTACTGGGTTGGAGGGCGGAAGGAAAGGAACGTACGGAATCCGCTCTTGTACATGAGAGACTGCTGTGTATGGGCAGAGGGTGGAAGCAACCAGGGGAAGAAGCAGCCAGATTAAAGTTTTCCAACTGTAGGAATAGCATGGCTCGACTGTTAAATGCTCGACGTGCTTCAACTTCTTTACACTCTACACTCTTGTTGCGAAGCTCCAGGTCAACGTCTGATTAGAACATAATCCCTAATTCATACTCGTAGCAGAATGATTATTAACTCGAATTAAAACTTGCTTCATCGTACTTTTTTCTTTTGTTCCTCTTTTAAAGTAGACGCAATTATTGCCATTAGACAATATTCGTATATTCATAAAATATTCTCTAAAGTTATCAAAAATCCATCTAAAAAGTTAAATCGCGGTGAATTAATATGCAATGTGGTCATTGTTGTAGAAACAGTAGTCAAAGTTGCCAATTCATATTATTAAGTTGATTCTAAAAGAGATTTCAATTACTCGAGTAGTTCCACTGGTATGCCTTTCTCATTTTCAACTCAAACTGATCTTAACTTACACAAAGACGAGAGAAGATTACTTATTTAAGTAAATACCATCTTACATTACCAAGAAAGTCTTTGAGTATCACAATTCCTTTAATTATACTAAAATCATTAATTGTCTCTCGGTCTTTCATTCGTCTACCGCTATTTTACTAGCACTTTATCTATTGTAACTAATTGAATTTTAATTGGTTCACAACCTCATCGTGAAAAGATAGTTTGTTTCATCTTGATTCTCTAAAGATTCAAGTCTAATATACATCCTGCTTAATTTATATCTGAGAAATTTAATTCTCCGAAAGGTTTCGCAATTATTGAACAATTGCTTTTTCTGTTGATTGATATTCTTTTTTTAGTTTTGTAGTTGTTTTTTTTTTATTTAATTTTTATTAGTAAAGTGACTTTGGATTACTTTGTCAGAATATGACATCCTAGATCCTTGGTATATTATTTTGCTCTGATTTTTTATTTATAACTAAAGTTGTTAATTCACAAATTGTTATTTTGAGAAATAAATCGCGACAAGACACAACGAAAGTTTAACTTAAAAAAAAGTCCGCCCACTAAAAGTTTGCTTGAATACATTTGATCACTGATGAGAATGATGACAGAAGATTTTAAGCCGGAATTATGAGTTACAGTTGGCTAACTGTTGACCCGCCTATCTGAAGTGTGAGAGTAGAAGTGCGTTTGCGAGGAGGGATTTTGATAATTGTTCGAATTCCATCAAGATCCGTTGATTTAGTAAACTTTTTAAATTTGTTTATGACGACAGCTCTCAAGACGATCCGTCAAATCAACTACTTTACCCTCCATATTTGTGAATCTAGAGAGCGTGTCATCAAGTTTGTCATTTATGTCCATAAAAGTCTCCGAAATTTCGATAAAATTTTTGGAGGTAGTTTGCGAATTTGATTAATTGAATAAGAGTACAGAGTGTCTGCAAACGTAAAGATTCATTAGTTAAACATAGTTTGTAATTTTGGAAACATTATTACTCTATCTATTATCATTGAACTGAGAAGTTCGTTCTCGACCGGTGGTAAATTATATATTGGTGGCTTAAGTGGCCTCAATTCAAATTTATCACACATCCTTTGTAGAAATTTCGATTGTATACTATAATTGATGGGTCTGGATTTGTCATCTGACGTAGTACCGTCATCATGATCATCACTATCGATTTGTTGATGAAGGGAAGGAAGAAATTGACGTTTGCACGTCTTGATGGATGACGATGTGTGCTTTGCTTTTGTGTGTGATTGACAGCAACTCTTATCACTCATAGAATCATTGGTGACAGAGAACACCAGAGAAGTTGAGAATATTTCAGGAAAAAAGTCACTTGAATGGTTTTTCATTTAGTTTTCATTTAGGTTAGATTTTTTTACCAATATTGTTCTCACGGTAAAAATGTAAGTTTGATTTAACACGATTTGTCTTTAGAGCAAATTTCATCTGACTTTTAATATCCGGAGAGTTTACAGTTAAATAAAACAATATGTTCCCTGTTGCGCCGAGTTCGCATCAGAGGAAATTTTCCCTTTTTGGCCGAGTTTTTTTTTCGCTTTATTGGTAAAAACGGCTTGGACGCATCGCACATCGGTTTCATTATTCACTTGCACCTGCGACGACTGGCGGTGTAGCTTGATTAAATTTCAATGCGCGTTCGTCGTTGAATCGCGTTTCAGCGCAGTGAGCGAGCCAATTCGTGAAAGAATCGGGGTCATCGATTCGTGCATAATTTTAAATATCCCCACACACATATATATATATACACACCAGGACTCGCGGTTTGGTCCACGCTTGTTTAATCGGCTTTCGAGCGATTCGCAAAGTACACAATGAATTGCATTACTCTGTCGGACCTGTAATCCTCGCAACGGTCATTTATATTAATTAGCATGGTCGCGAACCATTCGTGTTCAACATAAATTACCGAGCTAATGATGAATGTCAGGCATAAACGTGGCATTATGCACGCGCATACGAGTGTAA